CATGGGGGAGTGCAGCAGCAGGACTGGGCAGGGACAGCAGGTCTTGTCCCCCACCGGCAGCACCTTTTCCAGCGCTGGTGCAGCCAGCCCTACCTGTGCTCAGCACGACTGTGCTGCTGGAACAAGGCAGGAACATGGACAATGCACAGGAAAAAACACCTTGGCTCCACCTTGGAGACCAACTGCGGTCTGAATGGGCTGCCGCCTGCATTTGTGGGTTGGGTTTTCTTGCTGATTAGGAGCATAGGGCTGATCCTAGGATTACATACTGTGACAGCACATTTCAAAGCAAAAGCACTTGCAGCGAGTCCAGCACTTGCAGCGGGTAGACACTTCATGAGACAAGCCACCGGGCCTCTAAATAGTTGTGGCATATGTACGCACGCCAAGGCAAGGCAGGGCCGCGGTGCAGCACGGCAGTAAGACAAGTGCGGAGGAAGCCATGTTCAGCCAGGCAAAGATGCTTGCAGCGTGTTATGAGGTTGTGTGTACCATATATAGCTGATCAATTAGGATGTAAATTAGCTTGCTTGAAGAGCAAAAGAGCGTTAATGGCTGGCTTTTCTTTCTCGAGGTGACATGTGTTGTTACTCTGACTTGCCTGCTGGACGAACTCCCTTGGTAGCAATAAAGAGATGTTGTGCCTGTTTTGTTTGTGCTTTTGTGCGCCTCTGCGAACCAGAGCTCACAGGTACCAATCCTAAATAATAAATGGGAATTTCACTGAAACGGTTTCAGTCAAGATGTTAGCTCTGGGGACACCTAAAGCCTGGGGCTGAGCCAGATCTGAGGGGTGGTGCCCAAGGGACAGAGCTGGATGGAGAGGCCAAGCTAATGCCAACTGCAGATGCTGGGCTTCCTTCCCTGCTCCAAGTGCAATGACAGAAGCAGCATCCCAGGATGCTAGGACATTCACTTTTATTGAACACTTTAAATAAGCTGGGTATATATTACTAGTAATTATTAATAATAATAATAAAAAAAACACAAGAGTTTTGCATTCACCAGTGCATCGTGTGGGAGGGAGGAAAGCCGGCTCCCAGCCTTGCGAGGGGCTGGGCAGCTCCTGCTCCCCTGGGTTCCTCCACGGCTGGCCCTGGGGCTGCCCCAGCTTGGAGATGATGGAGGGACTCAGCGGTGTGTCCCCGCCAGATGTCCAGGCCTCCCTGCCACCACCCCGCCCTCAACCCCAGGGGCCACTCGGGCACTGAGGACCCCCAGCCGTGCAAACCCTCCCCAGGCACTGTACCCACGGCCAGCACCCCTCTCTGCACCCTGCCACACATACCCGAGACCACGCACGCTCGCCACACTTGTGCAGCGGCAGCAGGGGTGGCCCCCCCCCCCCCACGGGG